CACTCACTTTTTGGCCCGGTGACCCCATGCTTAACCTCACTTGGGTGGTCTTCCACAGACGAGGATGTGGGCCACTCAGGTGAGAGAGGGGAAGGAGTTCACACAGGTAATAAGAAGAAGATATCCACCTACTATTCCCAACTTTCGTGGGGACCAGAAAACCATGCCTTTTATTATTAATAGTTGATAAAAGTCTTCATTAGGAAGTCACATGTTATTATAACCTGATGTCATACACAGCAGATTTTCAACAATTTGATCTGATTCTGGTCCTCATGCAGGTATGCCCTTCCCTAGAGACCTCATGCTTCTGTACTTGAAAAATCAAACAGAAAACACACACTTCAGGGGATCGTAACAGAACAGAAGGATGATTCACAGGTTGAAAGAATTCCCTGAGTTCCTGTATATGAAGTATTATGTTTCAAATCTTTTTCTCTTCACCCAAAAGATTGGAAACCTATTTACTACAAAAAGTGAGATGCCCCTAAGTATTTCTTGCCAGTGTTCTTATTTCTCTGCCTTGCACTGCAGCACAGAAAAAAAATCACAAATTTTAAAATGTTAAGAAAAAGACACAAACATACATATGCTCAATTTCCACCTGATCTTTTTAAACTGAGTTGACTAGAAGGTAATAAAAGGTGACTTCCCTTAAATTACTATAAGCAAGATATCATTTGTATTATTTAAAAAAAACTTGCAAGTGGTAAAAGTTTCTGAATAGCCACATTTACAAAATTAGGCAGTTTATCTCAAAGTAAAAAAATCTAAACTTTCCAATTCTGTCCTATGAACAAACAATAAACCGCTGTCACGTGGGCCTGGAAGCAAAACCTGACAGCAATTTCGTAATGTTGCATTTTACCTCCAAGTGTTTCCAATGAAAGAGCAGCCGTGGCTGAAGAAAGAAGACAAATACACACATTGCTATGGACTCGCGCACACACACACACACACACACACACACACACACACACACAGACATCTCTCCAGCTCAGAGTTCCAGATTTAGAACTCAGATACTGCTCTCCACTCGGGAAGTGGAATGCCCTGCCCTCTGTATTGCAGAGGCCAGAGAATTCCATCCAAGCTGCAAGATCAAGCCTGTTAACATCCAGTAAAAACCAATGCATAAGTGAAGCAAATCCTTGTGCATTAATACAGAAAAAAAATACCTGTCATTACTTTTACTTCCTTAAAAAAACACAGTAACAATACACCCAACAGACATCCTCTACTGTGTTGCGGGCAGAGTCACAGGAATATTTCAAAACGACTGAAATAACGGAAATCTAAGGGGAAAATACCTAACACAAAATTATGGGAAATTTTAGTTTTAGTTTTAATACAATGTTGCATAAAGAAAGCAACACTTGAGATATAAATGACATAGCATTATTTAGTCGTAGTAGGTGAAACCCAAATAATACTTATTCCCCAGCTTTCATCCACTCAATGTCAGTAATGCTTGCACTGTACTTGGTATAGTGTTAGTACTTGTTAATATAAATCAAGGATTTCTCACCAAAGTCACTTAAAATTAGTTTGTTTAAATTATAGAATAATGCAGACTGTCGAATTCAATCGCCTAAATAGTAAACTGGCAATTGCACCCACACCGATGATCAAAACTTCAAGTGCCTATTATGCCCTGGCTGGTGTGGCTCAGTGGATTGAGTGCTGGCCTGCAAACCAGAGGGTCATTGGTTTGATTCCCAGTCAGGGCACATGCTTGGATTGAGGGTCAGGCCCCCAGTGGAGGGGTATATGAGAGGCAACCACACCATGATATTTCTCTTCTTCTCCTTCTCTCTCCCTTCCCTTCTCTCTCAAACAATAAGTAAACAAAATCTTTAAAAATTTTTGGGAATATCTAAATGTGTAGGCATGAGTGGGGAATTGCTAAAAGGAAACAATAATAATCCCAGGACAGGACCACGTAATCATGCTTGCAGATGACACTGCACCCGCCTTGGGAAGGCTCCACCGCACAGAGCAGTGAATCGTTAATTTACTTTCGGGGCAGAATTGATACGCCGTCCTCTGAGTGCAGATGGGTCTGAAAAGGCAGGAAGCAAAACACCATACGGAAGCTGAACAAACAGGGAAGTGTGTGCAAGCTTCCCTGACCAAAACGGCACTTCTCCAGAGCATTCCATTAAAGCTGCAACCCATGTTACTTCCTATCTGGGCTATGACATTTCTCAATCCGCACCTTCTCAGTACCGCAGTGGTAACTATGAACTGCAATTCTTTGTGTATACCTGAGTGGGTGCATCACTGAAGTTTTGCAATTTAAAAACTCTATAGAAAACCTGAGTTCCCTATACATTGGTCCCAAGCCCTCCTTCCTGACACTTTGAGTATCTAAAGAAATACTTGCTTTTCGTTTGACCTATAAAAAGAAACCCCAAAGAAAATATTTGTACAAGAAATCACTCATGCCTTCTGATGTCACAAAACAAACAAGAAGCATGTCCAGAGAGCGAGGTTCCTGGGCCCCGGCCCTGTCCGCCTTAGGCTAAGGGACTTCCCAGGGTTTCAATGCTAAAGCTTTGTTCATTCTTAGTAACTGAAGGGTAGCTGAACTGTCTTTAGAATTTATCCAACATGCTCTTTTATGAAAAGTCTGGCATCTCCAACAAGAGTTCTTACTTGCTACTTGAGGGCAGCCTCACAATCCGAGTACGTATTCACCCATGTGGTGATACAGGTACACGTATAGGAATTTGCTTCTCCTGCCTCGGCACCCCAAATCAGTGAACAGTTTCTGCCCCAATATGCCATAGACACTGTGGGAATATGAAAGCTGTGTGCAAAAAAGGGCATCCCAGTCCTCAAGGTATTTATAATTTATTTGGGAAAGAAAAGACATAGTATTCCTGCCTTGGCTGGAGTGGCTCAGTGGACTGAGCGCCAGACTGTGATCCAAAGGGTCACCTGTTTGATTCCCAGTCAGGGCACATGCCTGGTTGTGGGCCAGGCCCTCAGTTGGGGGTGCATGAGAAGCACCCACACATGGATGTTTCTCTCCTTCCCTTTCTCCCTCCCTTCCCCTCTCTAAAAATAAATAAATAAAGTATTTTTTTTTAAAAAGTAATCCTGTGAAGAGTTCTCTGTGTCAGCAAAATGGATGGCTACTGCATCTTAATTAGTAATATCGGGATGCTGTCATCTACATATTATTTGCATATATCACAAAGCCTTAATCCAAATAGGTAAGAAAAAAATAAATCCATGCTATTGATTTCAAATATATTAAAATACAATAAATGTTCAATAAATAATATAATTTGAGTATGTAATGGGTAGCATACCACTGTGCAATAGTAGGAAAGATGGGGTGAGATTCTTAATGGCCAAAATATCACATAAATCAGGAAGTTGGGGAAAAGGAAAAGTTTTCCTATTATCGCCTCCACAATGGCAATGGCAGAGAAGTGTGGCTTCTGGAAACCCAGAGGTTCGTGACAAACAACCTGCTGGACTCCATTTTTAGAGACCCAGGCACTGGCCCTTGCTCCTTCACAATCATACCATCCCTTCCCTGGTTTTCTACCTGGACCAGCTGAGGTCTGAACTCAACGATAGCTAACATTCCTTTAAAGAATAGTTCTGGTAACCCCTTCTCTGATAAATATATCAAAGTGCCATCCTCTCTCTGCCCCCCGCCACTAGGTTACAGTGCACAATATTAAATTATTCATTAATCTCTGACTTTAATTTTTTGCGTCTATACACTGACTTCTTTATGGCAGCTGGTTAACAAGGCAGAAGTCTTAATTCACCTTGCTAAAATTTAGCACTAAACAGTCATCAGTTTTACATCTAGTCCTAATAATCTAGCTAGATTGATGTGGCATCTTATTCAATATTGTTGCAAGAAGTTTTGATGTAGCCGTAATTCACAATGACGAAGATCAGATCAAATAGTTATATATTCATTGCTTTTGGCTGGCTTACAATGGCTAAGCTACACAGCAACCAAGAGTAAGAAAATATTTCATTTCTGTGTTTACAATAACCCAGTGACAACATCTAAGCATGACTTTGGTGTACCCAGATAAACTTTCACCTGGTAAGGCTTAGCCATGTTGTTAAGTTGAAAAAAAAGAACAGAAGAAAAACATGGGCTGTAATATTGCATTTCTTCTACTATCATTTTTTTGTGTGAAAATCTTGTTGCTTGGCCATCGGAATGTAAGGTCAATTACCACCTAATGACAGCAATGAATTCAAATAAAATAAACTCCAATAAAATGCTAACTAATACAAGCTCTCTTCATTCTAAAACATTCTTTTAAAAGAGTCATTTCAGTAAAGAGATTTTTAAAATCCAAAATGAAAAAGGGAGGACATACTCGAGCTTCATGAAGTTGCGTGATTAAATGAATAATAGCAACAAAAATAAATCTGAGAATTGAGAAACGTGCTGGAAAAGTTTTCCAAATACTATTCTTGCTCGTATCTAGCTCCATTATACAGTTTAAATTCAGCCAAATTTTTTAAGTATTTGTTAAACAGTTCCCGCATGTGACATATGTTTCCAAGATACTTCTGACATTGATATGAGATTATAAAACATTTAGAAATGAAAATGTTACTCTCCAACAAAAAACACCATAACTTCCAAGCTTCTTCTGAATTCATACGATGAAAAAACATTTGGAAAATAGTAGCTTTCCATTTTAAAATGTTCAAATAACACACTTTAAAACAGAAAAAGTGTAATTGTTCAAGGCAAGAAGGAGACAAGTCTAAATAAAATAAGATCCTAAAATTAACTCTAGAGCTCACCACTTCTCCTATGCAGTCTCAACCCTATTTACTCCATAATAAGTAAACTGTTGTATCCCTTCAGCTGGGAAGGATAGTTTTTGCCCTACTGAGATGGTAACAGTACCACACTGCAGTGCCTGCCGAGCAAGAAACACATACATGTGAAGGAGCATCAACTCTTTCTACCAAAGTGTATGCAAGACTTGATTTGCAATGCATTAATTTAGGAACTCGGTGGAGAGGCTCCTACTGTATCTGGCTGATCTAAACTTGAGCTCATGGTAACACTGCACAAAGCTGTGGTAGATGAAAGTGATAGGTAATGCCAACAGAACAATTCCACTGACAACACAAACTCCTCCAAGAATTCTTCCAGGCATTGTGATAGGATACATATCTCCATAGCCAACTGTAGTCATAGAGATAATCACCCACCAGCAGGCAGCAGGGATGCTGGCGAAGTCCTTGTTGGATGCTTCCAGGTCCAACCCATGTTCAAGAAGCTGAGAAAGTGCGCTAAAGATTGCCATGGCAACACAAATGAAGACAAGTAACATAACCATCTCTCGGTAACATCGTTTGAGAGTCAAACCAAGTGTCTGAAGACCAATGAAGTGACGGGCAAGCTTAATTACCCAAAAAATCCGCATCATTCTAAGCACCCTCAGTGTGACTCCGGCCCTCTGGAGTTGGGAGTTCTCGCCCGTGAATACTGTCATTAACACGGAGATGTAATACGGCGTGATTGCCAGCAAGTCAATGATGTTCAGGGGTCTCTTGACAAACTCACACTTGTTTTTGGAGACGATGAACCTCACGATGCACTCCGCAGTGAACCAACCTATGCAGATGGCTTCAATTATCCTGTCAAGAGAACAAAAGAAGAATCGATCATTTTATTTTTAAGCATTTTAATAGCTCTTAGAGTTTTTCAGACAGTACTGTACTAACATATTAATTCAGTTACTCCAGAGAACATAAAGGACAGACAGCATCACCAACATCATCAGACCCACCAGGACGCAACACAACAACAAATATTACGGCTCAAATGAAAATTAAACTTGAGAAAGTTCTTATTTATACGCCACACGTAAAACCACTGATTTTTTGTTTTGCTTGTCATTAATACTTAAAATCTATTTATTTCGTGAAATTGAAATGAATTTATAACTCAGCCAACCTCAATATGACATGTTACACACCCTGTGAGGGCACTGATTCTCAGCTGTGACGTCAGTTACGACATTGGTCAGAGGACTTCGTTCCTGTACAGCGGACGTACCCACGTTTTCAATGATGTATTTCTCGGTAAATTAGAGTAAACGCAAGACCATTTCTCAAAACGGTACTCTGCCAACTCTGCCTGGAGGCTTGGTGTAGGTACAAGGCCGAGCCAGCTCTCTGGGCTTGGCAGGACCGCTGTGCCCTCGCCAGCAGAGCGGCGCCGTCCCCGGGGCTGTCACGGTACAAACAGGGCTGAGGGCTCTTGCACTGGAGCAAAACAGTCACTACACTGAATTTTCACAAAGACCCCATTTGCTTTCCACAGCAATTTTTATGCAACATACATTTTTTAAAGGTCGCACATTAGCTAGAGCAGTATCTACCAACCTTCCCACTCATGGCACACACTGAAACTGAGGGTAATATTTACATAACGTACCGGCACCAAGGGGTTCTATTCTTAAAGCGGAAGCCTCCTGTTTGGGGGCTCCGGCCACTCTGGCCCTTGCCCACAGTCCTGAGGCTGCGATAAAGGAAATCTCAGTACACCAGTCAGGAAGCCTTGATCCAGAATAAGAGGTAATTCTGAGGTAATTTTTAATTAAATTACATTTTTAGATTTAAAGTAAGCTATAATTATTACACCATCATGCATGTTTTTCCACATTAATTCTTTCCCATCGCTGACCTAGGCCCAAACATCAGAAGTACAATAGAGAGAGAAGAAATTGGAGTAGGGAGACAGTAAGGCCTGTGGGCCAACATTTTGTAAAGAATTCCTCAAAGTGCATGTCACAGAACACAAGCGGCACAGGAAGTTACTCAGGGAAATGAACACGTAAAATTAACCATGTTCCCCCCTACGGTGGCATTAGCGGGGCTGTAGAGATCAATTTTATTTATTATTTGAATAGGCAGGATATTTACGTAGTTCAAATTTAAAAGGTGAAAACAGCCCTGATTGGGATGGCTCAGTGGATTGAGTGCCAGCCTGCAAACCAAAGGATCGCTGGTTCGATTCCCAGCCAGGGCACATGCCTGGGTTGCGGGCCAGGTCCCCATTGGGGGGGCACATGAGGCAACCACACATTGATGTTTCTCTCCCCCTTTCTCCTCCTCTTCCCCTCTCTAAAATAAATAAATAACTGTTTAAAATTTTTAAACGTGAAAACAGAGGATACAAAGAAAATTCTCCCTCTTAGCCCATTCCCCAACCACCCAGTTTCCCAGTCTTCACACCAGTCACCCAACCCTCAGGGCACCGTCTGAAAAGCAACAGCCACTGACCACCAAGACCCTGGAAACCCAAGTCAATTACTGTCCTGTGGCTGCTGTTAAAAATTACCATAAATTTGGTGGCATAAAACAACAGAAAAGTATTCCCCCTAGTTCTAGAGGCCAGAAGTGCAAAACCAGCATCCCTGGGCCAATACCAAGCTTTAGGAGGCCACACTCCCATCAGAGGCTCTAGGAGAGAATCCAGTCCTTGCCTCTTCCAGCCTCTGGTAGCTGTGGCCATTCCCTGGCTGGCAGCCAGTCATCGTAATCTCCGCCTCCAGGGCCCCACTGGCTCCTCCTCCAGTGTCACTGTGTCAGATCCCCCCTGCGTGCTTCTTCTGCAGATGATCAGGATAATCCCACCATCTCAAGAGCCTTAATTTAACCGCATCCGGACCACCCCTTTGCCTTGTATGACAACATCCACAGGTTCCAGGGATTAGGATCTGGTATCTTCGGGGGCAAAAGCTTCCTACTCGAAGTCAGCAGCTGAAGTCACATTATCTGTCCCTCTGCTCACGGACCCCATTACTCTGTGGTTGGCGGTGCTTCCCTGTCCCCACTGGAGTATCAGGAAAAGCTGCTGCCATAGTTCTCTGTGAACCTGACGATTCAGAAAACTGGGAGTAATGAAACTTGGCAGATTGAAAGAAGAAGCTGCATTTGTTTTCTCTCTCTCTCTCTCTCTCTCTCTCTCTCTCTATATATATATATATATATATATATATATATATATATATATTCATATCCATATAACACTTCTCCCTGGTAATACTCATCAAATATTCCATAAGTCCCCCACATCTCCAGCCCCTTTGCAGTTAGGCAGGGTCATATGACCAGGTCTGACAGATGAGCTGTTTGCCAAATGATTCTGTCACTCTGGGGCAGGAGCACAGAATGAGTGCTGATTCTCCTCCCTGCCATGGCAACCTGGAAGGCCTGTGCCCTCCGAAATGGCTACGAAACGGCAGGGCCCCCATGAGCCCAAGTCCCCGAGCGTCTGTGCAGAGAACAACCTGACTCTGATTGGACCTGATATGTGAGCAACAAATAAATTGTTGCTGGGTTAAGCCACTGAGAATTCTAAATGGGTTGCAATCCTAGGTAATAAACTGGTAAATACAGTTAATCTACACACGCAGTAGTAATAGTAATGGTTTTCTCACAGTGGCTGCAGTTAAAATGTCACCAGTTCACCAGCTAATGTGAAGGGACAAGGGACGTGACCAAGAGCATTGCACCTGCTCCCGCTCTGAGGGAGGATTCTCGCCTCTCACGTGGCAGAGTTGCATTGATCTCCTAAGGGCTCTCCTGGCAATAAAACCCTAAGATTCCATTAAATTAAGAAGAGTAAAAATTTTAATTGTGCCAGAAATACTAGAACATTTTCTGTTTCATTATTTCAACCAGCAGCCAAAGTTGTTGAGCTGAAAAAAGGAGGAAACCCACAAGATGCAGAATGATCCCTCAGTAAGAGAATTTCAAAGGGGCAAACTCCTCTATAACGAAGCCCCCTGGGCTCTCACTGCCCACCCCCAAGTCAGATGCAGGTTAGCCAGAATTCCACACAAAAGGGATGAATCAGTGGGAAGCGCAGGCATCCCTCTCTCACCTAGGACTTTGCCAAGGCAGCCTCCAACAGCAAACACCACTAAGCCTGCCAAAATCCCCCATGTCTCCAACGGCACTCCTGCCAATGCCACCACCGACAACTGCTGGAAAACCGAGTGCTGTTGCCTGAGCACCAGAGCCAACAGTTGGGTACTCCCAAAGGTTACTGCCACGAAAAACAAATAGAAGAAAACGAGCTAAGGAAGATGACCAGGGAACATATGTTTTGGAAGCCTCTTCTGATTCCTTGGAGCCCCCCACCTTGTGGAAGATCAGGGACTCAAGGCTGGCAAAAATACTTACCAGTTACTGAGGCCTTTCAGGCGGGCACTGTGCCCGGGTACTTCACGGACATCATCTCATTTCATCTTTTTGGAGAATTCCAAGAAGTGGGCATTTCCCCTACTATCTCCATTTTACAGACGACAAAACTGAGGCTGGGAAGTCAAACGCCTTTTCCAAGGTCACACAGCTAAAACACACCGGCGGCATAGGTAATGAATCTTGTATCTACTGGGTTTTGAAGTTCTAAAGAACCTTAGAAAAGACTAATAATGTCATGACAGCGTTCAGTGTTAATATTAAATGATACGTATCAAACAGCAGCATTTTTCAACCTGTCGGTTCTTAACCCATTAATGGATCAAAACTGACGTTTTTCAGAAATTACATGGAAAATACCAGAGTACAGAGAAGGGTTCTGCAGGATTGCTCCTCCCTACAGCCCCCACCCCTGGCTGTCCTTGCTTTTCTGCCTTCCCACGGCAGGCAGGCAGGGACGTGCGGCTCTCTCCCGTGCCTGAATAAACTGGGCTCAGCACCTCCTCCCTGCACCGTAGTGTCTCCTCTGTCGTTCCTCTGACCTCTGTTTTGGCCAACACAGGCACCAGATCCATATACTTTCTTAGCAGATGAACAGGGACCAACGACCCTCTACAAAGAAACAGACAAGTTCTCGACCGTGTGTCCAAGGACTGCAGCATTCACTCAGCTACGGCAGGGGCTACTCATTGTACATCAATCTCCATCAAAGCTCAGAGTGTGTTTCTGTGAAAACTCCCAGACAATTACTCCAAATAATCCTTACCTTCTCAGCCTCCTTCTGGAATAATCAATTCTATTTGCAACCCCAAAACACGAATTCAGTGCATTTGGGTAGAATCTGAGATGCAGGCATACCTGAAAGACACTGCAGGTCTGGTCCCAGATGACCCTAACAAAGCAAGTACCACAATAAAGCCAGTTGTAATCATTTTGCTGGTGGAGGGGCTTGCCTTCAGTTTGTAAAAAAAAAAATCCAACACCTTTTGAAGCACAATGAAGCAAAGCACAACAGAATGAGGTATGCTTGTAGCACATGTCTACTAAGTGTGACTTAGCAGAGAGAAATTCTAAAACCTAAGAAAGAAATGGTGATGATGCTTTGTCAGTGTGACAGTTTTTAACTCTCTGAGATGGAGAGCTGAGACCATTCATCATACAAAAGAAAACAGAACAGTATTATCACAAATCAGCCAGTCCGAACCCCATCAGCCCTCAGCCTACAGCCAATTCCACGCTCACAGCCACTTTCCTCAAGTGTTATTTTGAAATGAATCTCAGATGTGGGCACGTGTTCCAGAACCCTCTCGCATCCTTCCTGCCTGGTAGGTCAACCAAGTGTTCACAAAGACAGTGTGTCGGGTCCATTGAGACAGGCCAGTTCCAGCCAGTCCTGGGGTAAGGGTGGGATAAATGTCCCCATC